TTCGAGTCGAGGAGAAATCAAAATTGGCGTATTACTTTCTTACCGCAAGTTTCTGGTCTTATTTTGAACAATTATGCACATCGTGCTAAAGAAGTAAAATGTTTGTTCTTCATAATCAAACTTTCATCAAACTAGCTCCGCCTCTAAAACAACTTTTCTTTTTGTCTGCCAAGGCCGCTATTTAGCTACAAGTTAGACATTGTTTGAGGCTGCTGTTGTAGGTCATTCAGCATTTTTACAATCTTACCAAGCTGTAATTTAAAACTAGTTACTTACAACCTAAAGCATTTCTGGAGCTCAAACAGTAGAGCATGGTGCTAGCAATGCCAAAGTCATAGGTTTGAGTCCCAGAGGTGACAAAATGTGTAGCTTGAATACACTGTAGATTGCTTATATTTGTGTAAATGTAAAGGTTACAGCAATAATCACAAATAAAGTGATTGGGATACATCAAGATGCTCTCGAGGGTGAGCTTGACCTTCATTCCCCACCATCTTGGTTCCCAGTTGGTAGAGGCTCAAATAAATATGGCCTGATGCCTGAGACATCACTGCAAATTTGTACCTAACATTCTGGTATTAAACACCCACTTTTCAAGGTCCAATCAATTCTCGATGGATAGAACACATTTTTTCCCGTAAAAAAAAAAAAAATGCTGTTCTTTTGAACTTCTATTCATCAAACAATCCTAAAAGAAGTCTATCACATGTTCCACAAAAAGCAGTTTTCAACAGTGATAATGCGGTAAGACATGTTTCTTGAGCATCAAATCAAGTCAAGTCACCTTTATATAGATTGTATCAAAGCAGCTTCAATCAGCATATTAGGGTCATGTGACACTGAAGACTGAAGTAATGGCTGCTGAAAATTCACCTTTGTCATCACAGGAATAAATTATATTTTAAAATATATTTAAAATTAAGCAGTTATTTTAAGTTGCAATAATATTTTACAATATTAATGATTTATTTCTGCGTTTTTTTTTTATCAATTAAATATAGCCTTGATGAGCATGAGACTTCTTACTGACTCCAAATTTTGGAATGGTATTTTTTGTAAAAAAAATTTTTTATTGTATTTATTTTATTTTTTTTCAGAAATGCATCACGTTATGGAAGTAAAATGGGTTGCAAATGAAGTTTATTTTCACAATTTTTTTTTCTTTTTTGAAACTTTCCTCACAATGGATGCATCTGTGGTTCAGTGATAGTAGGAAACTAAATGTTTTAAGGGGATTGTGAAGCTAACAGAATAACTTAAACATCTGTCAGTTTGTATGTTCACTTAAAGTTTGTCTGTTTCTAAACCCTATTGTCGTGTATCTTTCAGGTTACACAGAAAGACTGTCTCTAGAGCGTCCACTCAGCATGTTGTTTCTAAACCAACCGTCCATCTCTCGGCTTCACAACCTCTTTTGATGCCCAGTGACCTGAGGTCAGTCTCACCCTGCTTTAACACTTCAACACCTTGAGATAGCACAACAACAACAAAAATCAATACGGCCTTCGTCTGAAGGGATTTCTTCATTTATTTTTCAAGTCTCAAAGGAAAAAGTGTTCTATGGTGTTTCGTTAACATTGAAAAAGATGTCACAGGAAAACAAGACAAAATTGATCGTTTCATGGACATGCGCAAATGCTTATGGTCTCCCAAACAATGTGACAATAATGGACCCCCAAAAAGCTTCACAATTCAATTTGAAAAGTTTTCTCAAAAATTCCCCAATTGACAAGAGTCCTTCAGCAGCAGAATAGCTGCCCTGCGTCCCCTCATCTCCCCACCCTCACTCGCTCTTTCAGCCCAGAAAAGAGGAAAAAAGTAAAAATTTATCTGCCACCTCCCTTACTCCCCCGCACACACAGACACACACACACACACTCCCGTTGCTTTATTGAGGCAGCTGCACCCTTTGACCTCTGTGCTTGTGGAATGCGTGTGTGTGAGAGAGAGAGAAAGAACGGCGGGGTCTCTTTTTCTTCATACAACAAAGGCTGTCGGATCGACAATAGAGTGGCAGAATAGAGTGTGTCCAGAGGGCCAATGAGTCGTGCTAGCTTGCTAAACCGGCGAGGGGGACGGAGAGACAGTGAGAGAACAGAGAAAATTTTAAATTAAAAGAAGAGGAGAAAAGAGAAGAGGGATATTTGTTTTGTCTGGGCACAGTCATAAATAAATGACTTCCGATGCAAAGGGAAGCAAAAAGATGGGCCCATGTTTGGTTCGAGACGCGTGTGTGTGTGTGTGTGTGTGTGTGAGGGGCCCAGTACACACAGCAGGAGTGTGGGCCCAATGACTCATTGCTGCAAATGACATCAGCAGTGTCAGCCTCAAATACTGCCAAATGCTGCATTCAGAGAAGGAATGTGTGTGTGTGTGTGTGTGTGTATGTGTTTGTGTCCAGGTTGTGCTGCTGGGCCACAGAAAGACAAAGGTGTTCCGTCACGCTTTGCCTCAAAAAGTGTGTTTTTGGAGATATGGGGGCAGTTTGGTGATATTCTTTTAAATCCTCTCACACACACACTTGGTTTTATCGATCGTTGTGGCAGAAGGCAGATGTATATGTGTAGTCTACCATCCAGGAATGTATGATGTGATTCACTTTAAGGTCCCGTGTTGGGCAGGCCCTAAATCTCTTCAGCCTAGCTAAACTGAACCTAGAATTTCCTCCATATATGCCACTGGCAGCCTTAAGGTCTCCAACCTCAACAGATTACATATGGATCTCAATCCTCACACTTTTACACACAAAAACACTGACTAACAGAAAGCGCAGTCCAATAGTTTGGAAACGCCTTAGGCCAAGTGGGGTTTTGGACAATAAAAATAAATCCTGATCATTTCTTGGCATAGATCTACAATACAGTTCAAAAGTTTGGGCTTGACATTTATAATGTAACAAATTTCAAATAAATGCTGTTTTTTTTTTTTTTTACTTCATCAAAGAATCATGAAAAATAATGTATCAGAGTTTGCACAAAAGTATTAAGCTGCACAACTCTTTTCAACATTGATAATAATAAGAAATTATTCTTGAGCACAAAATCAACATTTTAGAATAATTTCCGAAGGATCATGTGACACTGAAGACTGGATTCTGGAGTAATGACTGCTGAAAATTCAGCTCTGCCATCACAGGAATAAATTACATTTTAAAATGTTATGAAATCTGAAATAATATTTTGATATACGTTACTGTATTTTTGGTTAGATACATGCGGCGTGTAGTTTAAGCAAGTTTATGCAACCAATCACTGGTTGGCTCTGGGTGGTTGCCAGTACATTGCTGTGTGGTTGTTAGGGCACTTCTAGAGGTAATTCCTTTCTGGTCAACAGAGCCCATACCTAAGGCCTTATTGCCAAATGCAAAGGTGGCACAGACAGTTTAATGCTGCTCAGAGGTGGTACAGTAAATGCTTTTTACACAGCAGTTTGTACACTGTATACAGTTATACTAGAGGTGGGTCAGAGAAGGCATAAATTACCTTATGTATTCTAGCCTTAGATATGACTCACATCCTTCTTGTGGCGTAAGTCTATGGGATGTTTTTGCTTGTTTTATTCTCTTCCAGGTGAAAATCATTAGATTGATTAGAAAAGTAATAGCACACCTCTCCTCAACATGGCGCATGTAGTCATGTCTGTAGCACAAATGGACGAATTACACGCTAGAGTTTAATGCGTATAGTTATGGATTTGTTAAAATCCCCAAGCCCACTAATTATAAATGTTCATTTTTCGAAAAAAAACATTTTTGGGAAATATTTTTATTTCATTCATCAGTTCAAAACATGTTTTTTTTGTTTCTTTAACAAAACAGGTGGTCTCTGTGTAACACCCCCTCCTCTTTTCATTTGTGATTTCAGTCACTCCATCTCCTCCTCTCTCTCCCTCCCTCCCTCTCTCTCTCCAAACAATGCTTGAAGGTGGGTCTCTCGTCCACCAGCACAAACTCACCCAAACTCTCCTCGGCTCCCCCCCAGACCCCCATCTACCCCTGCACCTCCTTCCTGCTCACGCAGCAGCTGCCAGGCTCCTTTGTAGGGAAAATGATGCGTGTCCAAAAATAACTGATCGCACATTTTTTCTTTCCCAATCGTAACTACATCCCCCCCCCCCGTACACCTCCA